GCGATTAACTTTTCCTAAATCTCCAATTCTTCCCTGCCTTCTATTTTTATAAAAAGAAAAGGAGGGGGAGGCGGTATTTACAAGGGATTTCACTCAAATAATGAAATAAATGTGATCAGCCGAGAGACCCTTAATCCGCTTTGACTCCTGTGTCCTGGGCAGCAAACGCGGAGGTCTTTGCTGCCTCCGAGTCCCAGCGAGGTGGGGAATGAAGTGACCCCATCCCTGCCCACCCTGGGGGGCAGAACCCACAGCACCACCTTAAATCAAGTGCTGTATTTGGACATAGGCACATCAGCCAGGGACTCTTAGGTCGACACCAGAGAAAAACACCTCTTCGGTCATCTGCTCCCACCCTGCGGCCAACGTGTCCATGCCCAGACCTGGAGCCCGCTGTGCCAAGGCAGGAACCAGCCACGTCTCTGTTTCAGATGGCCAAACACACGTTCATGCGTCTCCCACCTGCAGCATCACCCGCTCTGACAGCACCTCCGCAGCACACGCGTGTGAAAGGCAGGAACTATCCTATTTCTTTAGGCTTTGCTTAATATATTAAACTTTTAGCCTGGAAATGACATGGTTAATTATCACTTTAATACAAAAAGTTATCTGAAAATCATGCAGATGATTCTCCCTAACTGGGGAGGAACCTTTGAGCCCCAGAAGGGAGTTTGTGCCTGTGGGGGCCGTCCTGTGGGACGTGGTGCTGCAGGGAGAGGTGCCGGGGCTGTGCCGGGAGCTGCGCCTGCTGCACCCACCTGCTGGGAGCTGGTTAAGCCCATGGGTCCCTTTACCCCCGTCAGAAACACCCCAAGTGAATAAAAGGAGGGTGTTTGCCCAAGAAAACGCAGCACGGAGTGAGCTAGAGCCACACCTGTGCTACCGCCGAGAGACCTTGTGCAACAGCTTTCCTGATTCCCCAAGTCCTCAAATTTGCCAGCCTGCTCTCCGGGTGCCAGCCAGCACCCATGCTTCCCTCCCCATCGGCTGCCTCATCCCGCGTGGACATGGGGCCTGAGTCACCCCCTCCTGGGGGACAGCAGAGAGGACCCCCGGCAGCCCGGTGGCAGGGAGAGCAGCGCAGCCCTGGTGTGGGAAGGGATTTGTCCCACCTTCATTTCAGCACAGCCCCAGCCACAAACACACAAACCAGCCTGTTGGAATAAAACACCAGCTTAGGTTGGGGAGGGGGGAACTAAACATCCCAGCTGTAAATCCCACATATGCCCAAAGATATAATCCAGATTTGCTACTTGCCCTGGCACCTTTTTTTTTTTTTTTAAAAAAAAAGAATAAATTAAAATCTCTTTTTGCTGCTGAACATAACCAGCATTAGGGCGAGGGGAGGAGGAGCCTGTCACTGTACGCAGCACAATCACAGATGAAATCACCGCCACCACCAGCACCGCTGCAGCCCGGGGCTCTCCCGGCCGCGCGGACTCGAGCAGCGCTGGTGGCAGCAGCCCCAAACCCATGTGCTGCACTTGCATGGGGCATTTTCTTCATTGATCTGTTGGATGAGCTGAAAGGCAGAAGATGCCTCAGTCAGGGAGATGTAGAGGGGTGCTGGCTCGGGAAGGACCACTCCGTTCAGGGAAAACACTCACATTCCTGGTCTTCCCTGAAGGAGCTCAAACCGTTTCACCTTTTTGCCTCCCCACAGCCACATGGCCATGGTGGGCATCTGCACGGAGCAGCTCCAGCATCCTGCTCTGGCTCACCTGGGTCAGCCAGGGCCAAACCTCTGCGTGAGCATCAGCACGAGCTCCAGGGAAGCGGAGAACAACGCACAAAAATCACTGGCCTCAGCCACCGGCTTCCGAGTAACATGCGCCTGCAAGACCCACTGGTGTTTCTTACAGCCACTGATAAACGTGAGGCCAGTGGAGAGCACAACTGGGCGATGCCTCCAGCATGTTACACAGAGCCCATGGTCCAGCAGTGCTGCTGGGGCTGAGACCCAGCCCCATCTCTCTGACACCCTCCGAGTGGAGAGAAAATCCCCCTCAGGCTGCAGGGCTTTAGGGACAGGCACGCTGCATCCACGCTCCTCCTCGCAAGCAGGGACTGAGGGCTGGAAGGCAGATGGCATCTGCACAGATCTAAAGCCCAAAGCCCAGGGAGACTGTCCTGTCCCTCATGCTGCTGTGCCCTCCTTGCCTCTGAGCCAAACTGCTCAGGATCCAGCCCTGGATGTCTGTGAGTGCAGCTCAGGGGCTGAATCTCTCCCCACGCTGCCTCCCGGCTCCCTGGCACAGCTCGCAGCGGGATGGACGGGGTGATGTTATTCAGACCAAAAGCTGAGGATGGACCCTGCAGATTGTACCTTGGCAGTGGAAGAGCCAGGGTGTCCTGTCACCGCTCCCTGTGTGCCATCCACCCTCTGCGTCCCCAGAGCCACCGGGCTGGGGGTCCCCTGCCTTCCCCCGGGAGGTGACAGCTGACCCAGCCGCAGCCTGTCCTGCATGCTGGGGGACAGGGATGGGCAGGGACACAGGCTGGCAGCCCCATGGCGGGTACTGCCATCCTTCACTGTTGCTATAGAGACAGAAGCTGGTTTTCGTTGCAGCGATGCTGGTTGTTTCTGAGCGGTACCTTCGGCATGGCAGGCAGCCAGGAGAGGAGGACGAGGGACAAGGCATGCTGTGCTCTGCCGTGCCACCTGCCTGGATGGGAGGGCTGGGCACAGCCAAGGTACAGCTCTGCTGGGCCTCTCCTGGTGCCCCTGTGCCCACATCTGCACTCACCTTGTGGGGGCTCTGCCCGAGCCCTCCCTGCAGCCAGCATTGGGGGTCCCTGCTCTGGGCACGGAAGCACTGGGGGAGTGAAGGGGTACAGGCTGTGGGGGTGCTGAGGAGGAAGGCTCCCAGGAGAAACCCTGTATGAGAGTGAGCCCTGTCCTGTGAACCCCAACTTACCCCAGCAAGTGCCCCCAACTCACTTCTCCCTGCCCTCCCCACCTCACTTTGCAGCCACATGCTGGGATGAGGCTGGCTCAGCTGTTAACCATAGCAGCTCCTCCAGGCCACACTCTCCTGATTACATGAGCAAAGACCAGGAGTGACTCCTCCAAAGCCATCCTGGATGCACCAGGAGAAGACAATGGAAGTGCAAGGAGACCTGGACCCAGGGACGTGGCTGTAGATGCCTCCAGCCTATTTGCAAAGGTTCAGTAAAACCTTGAGCTACAAAGCGAGAGCTTCCCACAAAGCAATCAGGGCAAAGTCTTCCCCTGCTCCCTGCCTCTTCAGGTGCCCATCTCCAGCTACACACAGGTGCACACACACGCCATCAGAGCTGCAGTAGTGTGCCTCCATCCTTCCAAGGAGCGAGGATAAACTCTGCCAAGTCTAATACTGCCTGAAAGAAAGAAAAAGCATCATAGCTCACTTCTTCACATAAGTCTTTGCAGAAGGATGATGGCAAAGAAAATCCCTGGCAGAGGCCAAGCACAGCAGCACATCGCTGCTCCCACCCTGTTTAAGCAAGCAGCAGCAGGGGAGGGGGGCAGCACCGACCACTCCCCCACTGCTCTGCCCGCTGCTGCACCAACCCACCAGCCTCTGGGGATAACTGACAAGACCCTGAGCTCTCCCCTTTCCTCAGCACACTCAGTGACAGTCCTTCCTGCGGGACTCTCTCACAGCCCACCCCCGGGAATCTCCGCGGGTGGCTCGTCTTTAAAGGACACAGTAGCCCCCCATACCACGCTTCTGCTCCAGCCTCGGAGACAGCAGCGCAGGAAGTCAGCGGCTCCCAGGGCTCTGAGCTGACATCCCAGCTGGAGACGCGTGCCAGGGATAGATTTTCTGTTTAGCTTCTTTTCAAATTAATTATCAAAGAGCAACAAATGTTAGCAGCTTGCAACAGTCATTATCTGAATGTTTTCTCCGTCTCACCAGCAGCCCCTGTAGGAAGAAGCTCCCTGACATGCAGGGATAGATGAGAGCACAAGACCCAGCTGGTCGCTCCCTGGCCTTGCAAGCCAGGTGCATTTTGCTCACTGGGGATAGACAGGAGGACAGGAATGATGGGATCCCTTCATTCTGCAGAATGCATCCAGCCAAGGAAGCTGCCAAGTCTGGTAGTGTCCATCACCTGCCAAACATCAAGCTCTCTTTGAAAGACAGAGAAACTGCAGAGAACTGGAAGGTTCTGTGCAAACTATGGGATTTTCTTAGGCAGTCGTGAGGGGTGATCCATTTTAGGGACGCTACGTTGAGCGTGGCCATCACCTGGGTAAAGATCAGCCAGGTTTCATGGTGGCCGCTTGTCAATAATGAGAAGAAACGGCACCATGTCTGGGTATCAAACTCTCTGTTCAGTAATCTCAGGCTGGTTCACAAACATCAATTAGCTCAGCTTTGCAGTCAAGGAAGGTCAGGAGCCCTCTCCTCATTTCATAGGACGTGAGACAGAAACGTTCGGTACTTCCCTCTGTAAGAGGGTCAGAGCCAAGCGAGCAGAGGCTGGGTGGGTCCCGCAGTCCTGCCTCCCTGCCCTCTAGCTCCCCACCATCGCTGGGTCTACCAGAAAGCAGTCAATGCTGTAAGAGACTTACCGGGGAAATTCCCACCTACAGCACCATTTGGCATAATTATAAAATAATATGGCCGCAAAGAGACAGAAAAAGACTCTTTGCTGTGTATCTAGACATGCTTTGCAAAACCACCATGATCCAGCCCATTGCCTATTCAATCACCCCCTACTAGGACAAAAATGGGTGACTTGTATTTCTGCTTTAGCAGACTGAAACCACACACACACACCCTCACAGAGCAGATCTTTGAACAGCAGATGGAAGGCCAGCTTCAGCATGCTACCTTCAATAGCCTGAGCATCCATTGAGGTCCACCCCATCCAAAGCAAACCATTTAAATGATTGCTTCCATCCCCTCGGTCAGCAGGACTGCAGCATCTGCTTCAAGTTGAATGTGTATCTCAAAGCTATACTCAACTGGCTTTTGTCCCTTCCCTCATGATAAGAACCAAACAGGGCAGGATTTTTGTGATTATTTATTATCTGTGAAGTGCTGGCAGTGTCCTGACTCTGTACAAGACACAACTGCTGGGCTTACAAAAAGAAAAAGCACTTGGCCAAAATCATTTAGCCTCAAAAAAGTTAACGAACGTGTTCTCAGGAACCTCTCAGGCTCTGCCCATCCTGAGGACGTATCAAGGTGCTGATGCGAACCACCCAAACTAGGCAGATATGTAGCTCATTTCTGTCACTCATAAAGCTTAATTAAGTTGCTGTCCAAACACAGTTTGAGAATATGGCCGAAACACAGGTATGGCCCTTGATTGCTAAAATCCAATCCATTGCAAGAAACGTTTTTGTTTTCGTTTTTTTTTTTTCAGGTAGGGAAGCGACATTAAAAAAACACCACTACTCATGGAAGCTACAACTGCTTCCAACAAACAACATGTAGAAAATACCAGGAGAGAGGCTCTTAAAGTATCTGCTAGTTTCCAGTGGAAAGGTGTCAAGTCCCCCATATTCACCAGATGGATATCAACATCTGACATGTGTTGGAAGACATCCATATCAACTCCACCAGCCTGAACTGTAAGTAGCCAAAAACAAAGCCAGACAGGACATCTGTGATGTGGTGCCGTCCAATCATGACACGGGAAAAGCCCACACAGAGGGCCCAGATGACCAGCAGGATCCGGAGAGGGATGGCCAAGACCAGGTGGTTGAGGAAGAACTTGGAGATCATGGCCGCTCGGCTGGCGTGCCCAGCTGGAAATGCATAGGTGTCCATGGTCAGGTAGTCCAGCAAGCCAGGGCTGATGTCGTACGGGCCCTTCCGCTTGGCCAGCTTCTGCAAACCAGCCACAATCATGATGTCCAGGAGCAGGGCTGCAAAAGGAGAGACAAGGAGGGAAAGGTCAGAGACAAGCAGAGTCAAGGGCAAGTTTCAAGGCAGAACCTAAAAGGGTTGTCGCTGTCTTGGGTTCAGTTCCAGACAGGTGTCCACAGTTTGGCTGCACGCAGCCTCCCTCATCCTCAGATCACCACCCAACTGTCAATTAACCCTCCCAGTTCACCCATGGAGAAGACAAGCACCCTTATCACCATCTCACAGAGGAGCAACCCAAACCGCAGAGGCAAGCGACCCGCCTGGGGAGGAAGAAAGCAACTGGCAAAGCTCAAATTAAAACTCTTTTGGCCCTCAAACCACCAGACTGAGTGTCTCTGTTTCTGTCCTCCACCCCACACTTTAGAGACCTTGTGCAGCAAGGACATATCCCTGCCTGGCGTGCCTCTGTGCTGGGGTGACCAGGCTGCAGTGAGCAGGCAGTGGGAGGAAAGGTGCCCCACAGCACTTTGCGGTGTCGTGCCCTCTCCTCTCCCAAGCCCACCACCTCCCTCCTGCCCAGACCCAGCCAGCGGGACCACGCGGCACTGGCAGATTTCACTAAGAAAAGGGCATTAAGAGACAGTGAGCCAAGGGAAAGTGGACCTTCTAGTGGAAGGTGTCCCTGCCCATGGCAGGATGGAACTAGATGATCTTTAAGGTCCCTTCCAACCCAAACCACTCTATGATTCTATGATTCTATTTAGGGAAAAGCCATGCAATTAAAAAAAAGGGCTTCTGCCACAGGTATCAACACCAAATCACCTTTCTTCTCTAACTGCTTTGGGAGTGAAACCCATCAGCACTTACCTTCATCATCCTCCTCTTCATCCCACACCCTTTGCCCCAGCCAACAGGTACTGTCATTTCTACTTCCTACCATCGACTTTATTTTCCTTTCATCCTCTCATCTGCTTCTCCTCAGCCCTCCTAATTAGTCAGAGTGCTGATTTCAGCTCCTCGCAGCAAGGATGAGGGAATACAGACCATCACGAGCACAGCCTGCTCCCTCGGCAGGAACGCAAGGGACTAGTTGCCCGGGCTCCAATAAAGACCGTTCCTTGAGAACTGACAAGGTTTCAGGAGGATGGATGGGAGCGCGGTGGCGGTGGGGATGGGAAATGAGATGGCACATGGGAGGCAAACAGCCTCTCCTGCCTGCTCGGCACCTGGCAGGAGCTGGGAAGCGAGGAGCTGTCACGGCAGCTCTGCTCGCCCGCCTCGCAGCGTGCCACCTCTGTGCAGCCAGCCCCGGCATCGCTTTGGGAACGAGCTGATATTTATCCTGGCCAAGCTCTCTCCTTATGGGAGGGCTATTTTAGTTCCCCATCTGCAGGGCACCTTGCGTGGGGAAGGGGGACAGCAGGACCTCCTTGGACCTCCTGCCCACCAGGTCCTGCCCGAGCCACTCCTGGGCAGCAGCGGGGCAGCTGCATGGCTCTGCTCACGCTGGGCTTCCTAAATCACCCCCAGCCTGGCTCCTCACCCCACCAAGGTGATCCCTGCGACCCCAATTCTGGAAAGTGCTTCAGGAGCCCATTTTCAGAGCTCACTGGCTGCATTGCCCACTAGTCCCACCTCACCCTGGACAAGAGCTGGGTGAGAACTGAAGCTCTGGGACATGATTTCAGAGAGATGATGCACCAGCGCTGCCAAGTGAAGGC